TCTTTATTCTTCAGCAGATATTATATTTGATAATATATATGTGTATTAAAAAAGAAATAATAATAATAATAACAATAATAATAATAATAATAATAATAATATTAATAATAATTACATATTAGTAAACAACAACAAAAATTTGTCTTTTTTTAAATAAATTTTTATTTAAAAATGATAATAATAATAATAATAATAATAATAATAATAAAGTAAGATTTTTAACAATATTTATTATAAGCACAGGAACGTATAGTGTTTCTCAGACCAACTCTGTACCAAACAAAAATCCTTACAACTAAAATAGTGATACTAATTGTTAATTAAACCTACTCTCTCTCTCTTCCTCTTTCTTTCTTTCAGCGCATCTTAAATAGGAGTTGCAAGCAAGCAAGCATTAATACGATCTTTTAAATATATCATTTTCGCTTTTAGTATTTCTTCTTCTTTTTTTTTTTTATTTTTTTCGTTTCTTTTAAAAAAACAAATATTAAAGTACTAAAAAAATATTAATCACATACACAATCGGGATATATAATTCAGTCGTAAGATTACAAAATATATTATAGAATCGTAGCTTCATTTTTCTAATAGATATTATTTAATAATTAGCAATTTACTATGACAAATATAAATGATAAATATCGATTGATAGTGGTCTATTATGATGTACTACCGACATATTATCAAATAAACACTTTAAATAATTATATTTAAATTAAAATAATAATAATAATAATAATAATATATAATTAATAATATTAATAAAAATAATAGCAGTAGTGATCATACATAACGACAATGCGAAATATCGAAATATAGACAATACCACGTTCTATGTTATTACTAATTTAATACAAATATATATATATGATGCCTCTTTACAAAAGACACGTATTCTGTATTCTGATTTAATTTGTATTCTTAAGTACTGGATAAGAAGACAGTCATTGTTATATATATTATATATATATAGGGTGGGACTATAATTCTATTCACTTTGAATATCTCCGTTATTTGTAATAATATGAGAAAATGTATAATAATCAAAATGATTATCATAAATAATAAAATACAGCCCAAATAATCGGACTGTATTTTTTTAATGATAATTTGCTAAAACTATATTAACGCTAACTATCGCAAAGCGGTCAAAAAAAAAAGATCAGCCTGTTTAAAAAATGAAAATGAATTAAAAATCACCTCTACGCTTCCTCCGATGCAAAAGAAATAGGCATCAAAAATGTCCTTCTCTATACCATGTAAGTTTTGCATGAAATATTTTCTTATATTATAATAAATTACGGAAATATTCAAGGTAGACAGAGTTATTGCCTCACTCTGTATATATAATATAATCTGTTATTGTAAATTATGTAGACACGTTTACATTTAATGCTTTGCAAATATATTTCGTTATTTATTTTTTGTTGCTTCACTTCAAAATTATTTATTTCCCATTACTTTTTCTAAATCATCACCATTCTCAATCTATCAAAGCTATTTTTATCATCACCATAATCATTATAATAAAATACAGTTATTATACTCATGGACCTCGATAAGATTGTATTGAACCTTTCGATTTAATCGGAAGATATCACATATGTATTACTAGCAATGTATGTAGAATTTACGTACACGTATATATATATATATATATATATACACGCGTATACACCTTCATAATGACGAACTTACATCGATATAAAAAATAAAATTGCTAATAGTTAAGCGTGCGAATATTATTATTATCAATATATATATATATTGATTTATTTGCATTTTTACTTTTTTTTACTTGCCTTGTTTCTTCTCTTTTTTTCCCGTTTTTTCATTATATTATTTAAATAATTTTATAAAGCCAATTTATATGATGTATACATATGTTAGGTGGTGTGTGTGTGTGTGTGTGTAGATAAGAAAATATAAAGTTCATGTTATATCAAAAGTATGATTATATCTTTTATAAATCATAATAAACAAATACGCGTATATATACTTATATACTTTTTTCTTGACCGCATGTACGAATAACAATATGCATTAGAACACATGATAAATATAAACATTATTGCATAAAAAAAGAAAATGCCTATTTCTATCAATATTCATACGTAAGCACTTAACATATGAAAATCACCTAACTGTTTCGATATATTCCAAAATAACGTTATAATAATGTATTTATATGTGTGCGTGCGTGTCTGTGTATGTAACTTAGTACCTTCGTATATATACCAACAATATGTAATATTTTCATGAAAAAATATTACACATGATTAGAATATTAAATAAAACTATTATAAAAATGTGACAACGTTTTGTTTCAATGTAATTTAAGTATAAAAGCAATTATACGAAATTACAGTGATTTTTTAAATGCTATTCAACATCATTTTTTCTCATTTCTCTAATTTTTCTTTCTAGCACTCTCTCTCTCTCTCTCTCTTTCTTTCTTTTTATCTATACGTATTTATGTGTGTATGATATATGTATATATGTATGTACGTATGTATGTATGAATCATATATGCGTTAGTTTGCCTAAATAGCAAATACTTTACGTTCACGTTTGACCAAGTGTAATTATATTTTATAACAAAATAATATGGATCACAATTAGATATGTTTAAATATTAAATCACTTAACATCATAATTCCAACCTTCTCAGCATATACAATATTCTACACAGATTATATATATATAATATATATAATATTATCTTATATATATTTATAAGATAATCTTTTAATAAGATGATCCTTTTTTTCAATTACAAGTTGCAAACTTGAAGTACAAAGCTCATTAGATATAATAAATTATAATTCACAACAAACCGTATTAACTGATTAGAATGTGTTCGCTACTAAATATAATATAAATCAATTGCTATGCTGTGTATGTTTAAGCGCGCACGCATATGTGTGTGTGTATGCGTGTGCATATTAAATGTGTAAATATTGTACAAAAGTCTACATGTAATAACTCTCACCCCCTTTAGTCATTGCCATTATATGCATATTATATATTATACAGAATGTCATAACTAGTGGAACATGCGAGCAGAGAGAGAGAGAGATTCTACATGAAAAATTAAATCAAAAGTGTAGAATAAAATTTTGTCTCAAAGACAAAGCTACATATGAACATATGTTATGCTAAATTCTCAACTTATTATTAGTTTTTCATATAGAAATCTTCCTCTACTCGATTGTAATACTAGTTACAGAACACTCTGCATAAATAGTATACATGGTTACAATCATATATACCAGAAAGATTATTTTAAATGTATTTTTTCTTTCCTACATTTTATTTTATATACTCTAGGAAAGGGGTCGAAATATAATTGCCTTTTTAATTTCTAAAAGGTTTATGATTTTAATAGTAAAAAAGCTACTTGTATATACCTACAATATAATTGAACACACTTATTGTCTAATAAAGGCAATTTTTATCTCAATTCTCCGTATACCTAAAATTACACACATATCTAATTACATTCTGATTGAATAAATATACAAAAGAAAATCGATGGATGGACTCCTAGAGATGCGAAAATCAATTTCTTACCATGAAATTTGACAATTCCTCCTAACAAGACCCCCATTCCTAAGAGTGTATTCAACAAAATGAAGCAAAAGTAAATCAGTTAATTTATTTATGAAACATATGTGTGTGCGTCAATAATTTATTCCTCCATTATTAATTCTAAACTCCTTTCTATAGATTTAAAATAAAAAAACAGTGAAAAATCTGATCTAAATTAATCTGTTCCAAAATTAAAATAATTATACCCCCTTTTTTACCATTGACCCACACTTTATGATTGAAAATCATATATCTAAAAATATTATTAGTTTCATAATGTTATATGCAATTACACATTTGTTAGCAAATACCATGCGGGTGAGATTCTTTGGAGGAGTTTCTGGGTTTACAATTACATGAATAATTCATCGTGCATCCTTTGCAGTTAACTTCTCTATCAATTCTTGTAATGGTGCTAATTCTCGTCGTTCAATTAAATTGAATTCCTAAATATAAACCAAAAAACATAAATATATAATATTATATTATATAATAATGCACACATATATTTATTACTTATTGTAATAAATTGAATATACCTGAACAAAAAAAATGAAGTGTTTAAAAGATGTATTTAAATGCGCTTCCTCGCCAAGTTGTACAACTTCACTGAAGTGTTGATGATAAATATGTGCGTATACTCTAAATAATCGTTTCAATATTGTTTTTGCAATTGACAAAAAATTCTTTGGGAATGGTACGCCTGCAGAATCAAAGAAATGTTTACATTTTCATATACATTGCTAATGTTATTATAGCATAAGAGATTAATGTTAATTAAATTACCGATTTTAGAAGGGAACAATGTTTCATCGTCCAACTGATCTTGCACCCATGTCATTAAATAATCAATGTATTTTGGAGCAGAACATTTAATAGGCTTTTTCACAGTATGACCATCTGCCCAATGATATTCGTACTTTGGACCTGCTGACATTATTGGACAACTTTCCTCCGTACAAAATTCTGTTATGGTGCCATATAACATGTTGATTTGATTAAAGAAATCAACAGCTGCAATAAAAAAAAAAACAATAAGATTCCAAATTCAATATACATATATACTGAAATATAAAATAATGTATAAAATATGTATATGTACTATTGACAGCAACCCATTCATTTAAATCTTCTCCTTCTGGAAGCATAACCGCTAATCTTAAATTTCCAGAACCAAGAGTAGCCGCAGCATGTTTCATCAAGTCATATTGGTGAGTTCCTTCTGGGATATTCTTCTTTGGTTTAAAGGTTTTTGACGACCGGCTTCCACTTAAGAAATCCAGAAACGTTGAATTTAGAGTTGGATAATGTAAAACTGACAGATATGAATTTATTACTTGGCTGAATATATAGCAAATTATCTCCATTGTATGTTATTAACATTTTTATTTATCTATCCTTGAATTTTTTTCATTAATATATATTAAATAAAATATTACAAATAAACATAATATTGAAATTCTTTTATTGATATATAAGTATGGGAATCAAAAAAATTGCATATAATAAAAAAAAAAAAACAAATAGATATACTATATAAAATATATAACAAAGAAAGATATTTTTCATGAAAAGATGATTCATTGTGACTGCAATACGTATATAAATTAAGATTACATTGTATGCACATTATCAATGCACTTTTTTTAAATAAATATAATCATATTAAAATAATCTATTGATAACAATTTAGCACGTAACAAGAGATACTTCATGATTTAGGAAAAGATAATTTAGTCTAAATGCAAATAATATGTATATTAATGACAAAAAAAGAAATCTGTTAATATTTATATACATAATATACGCGGCAGTCCTTTCTCTCTCTCTCTCTAATGGCAGATTCTTTTTTCAGTGATTTATTCATTTTCATTAAATAATCCATATATATATGTGTATATATATATATATATATACATACATACATATATATATATATACATATATCTTTCTTTCTCTTTCAAAGATAATCTATTGATCTAATCTAAGTTATACAGTTAACATCGACTGTATCTAATTTGACTAGAATTTTTTCTTATCGTTAGTTTAATGGAGTTTAAAGCGAATGTATCAAATTATTTGTACTTTTCTATTTAGACAAAACTTACAATAGGAAGCTCATTGTGAACTGACGCTTGGCTTTTTAACTGGAATGAAAATTTTATTAACACAATGACTTATTATCACTAACTTTTCGTATGATAAAACATATAATCTTCCCTCAAGTATACAATAAACGACAATTTTGATGACTACCGTACAATATCACACACAGAAGGTTTTGTCAACTGCTGTTTCCGTGATCGTCGACTTAGGCGATCGTTTCGTCAGTACGGGATGGATGCTTTTCACGGACGAATCACGACGTTCGATTAGACGTGATTGTAGAAATTTCTATACTATCTCACTCATCCTTATTCTTTTTCTCGACTAACAATCAAGAAATCCTTTTTTTATCTTCATTTTTATTGATTAAATATAATAGAATTATAAATAATAAATATACCAATTACAATTAATATGAAATAATTAACAAAATAATTTCAATATTTAATTCAAATAAATATAATTTATATAAAAAGGATCCATTTTCTTAATAATATGATTATAATATTATGTTTTAAAATATATATTAAATGATTTTTAATATTTCGAAATATTAAAGAGAATTTTCCATTGAGTCACTTAGAATTCAACCAATAAAAATCCTCTGTTATACGATCCTGTTGTCAGGATTGGTGCATTCGTGGCTCAAAGTTGTGTTGCTATTGGATGTTCTTTTGGATAAAATGCATCCAATGATCTTCAAGTTATATACATTCATAAATATGCTTCTAAAACTCGAAAGATATTTTATACGTTTTTGGTCATAAGTTGTTTTAGATCTCTGTCATCTTTTCATTACGTCACGTGTTTATATATGCAGCGTGGTGTATATACGTCTACGTAAATACACTCTGTGCAATCAGAAAGACGGTCTTGGTTATATCTCTTACTGAAAATGACTAAATTTTTTATGCTCTCGTTGAAGTTTCATTAGAAAATTATTAACCGATTGAACAAAATATAAAAAAAAAGAAACTTTTTGTAAAGATGGGAAGTTATATGAGTGTAATTGCGTCTATGTCTAATACAGCAGTACATTCTGTTTATCGTGGTCGTAAACGAAAATGCATTGAAGAAGATGATTTTGATTCTGAATCGGAATACATCGATCGAACACTTCAAACGCCTAAAAAGTGGGATTATTAATCGATTAAATGATTTACTTTCTATCAAAATAAATACATTTGAATAAATATATTTTGAATGATTTGTTTTTTATAACAATGCATACTTTTATAGGAGAAAATTGCTTACCACCGCACAATATATATACAAGACTTTATTCAAAGAAGAGAAAGGAAGTGATATAACTGTGCTCATGTTAGGAAGAGCATGGAGATTACACAAAGTTTATATTAGTCAAGTATGTGAATTAATGATTATCTTCTTTTATAAAGATCTTATATTTCTATTCAATTTATATTAAAAATTTATGCATTCATTTACAGAGTCCATATTTTGCGAGTATGTTTTCTGGGTCTTGGAGAGAAGCGAATGAAACTGTGATTAGTGTTGAAATTGCTGATCCTAATATCACATTAGACTGTAAATAAGACAGATAAAGTTTTACCATTACATTATGGTATTAAATAATCAGTAGTCTTTATTAATTCATTTGTTATTATTTCAGCTCTTTTAACGGTGTTAGGATCATTTTATCAAGACGAAGTCAGCTTAGAACCAAAGGATGTCATTTCTATTTTAGCTACATCCACTTTATTTCAATTACAAGGATTGATCGACCAATGTACCGACATTATGATAGAAACTACTAACATTAAAACTGTTGTTCCATATTACAACGCAGCAGTTTCCTATGGCGTACCTGCAGTTAAAGTGGCTGCTAAGAGATGGTTGGAGGTTAATTTATTAGGATACGGATGGCTACATCCAACATTTTTACAAGAAATTACTCCAGATTTAATGGTCGAGTTAATCGTCAGTCCGGATTTGGTGGCTATGCAAACTGAATTTTGTATATATATGATGCTACGTGTATGGTAAAAAATTTTAATTCCGTATTATAGTTAAATGAACATATATACCATAGTACAAATAAGTAAAAACAAGAAATAATTAATTCAACTAAGATCGTTATATTATTACAGGCTTTTTGTACATTTAAAGAACAAAGATGATACTATAGAGATTGACGAATACTTTAGAAATCACAAATGGAAGGAACCTTTTTTAACAACAGAGGAAGGCAAAGAATATGCAAAACCTTTCAAAGCATTAAGAATGAAATATTTACTTTTACATGATCAAGATGTTAAAATTTTATACAGCGATAATTTAATACCATCCAGTTGGTTACACGACGCATATAAAGAGCAATGGTTACATTTATTAAGAATCGATGCAAGTAAAGATAAAGGGTCAGTTATCTCGTATAATTTTAAAAATATAATTTATATATTATTTTAATATATATATATTTAACATATATTTATTTTAGACCTAAAGAAATCACGGAGACAGAATTTTATAAGGAATGTTTTCGATGTGGTCGATGCGTTGAGAAACCTGGTGAACATATCTGGAGATGGACAGCATTTCATTTTGGTCTCGATCTCGTCGTATGCTTAGATGTTACAACTTTAAGAATCAAACGAAATCACAGATTAGATACGGATCATATTAAGGCAAACCATAACAAACATAACATTATTCTAAAGTAAGAGAGAAAAAAGAGTAGAGAGTAAAGAAATTTAATATAAAATTATTTTTGTAAATAATAATATATATGAGAAAAAAGTGAATATAATTATTTCTAGGGTAACATTGATTTCATTAGATGAACAACGCCAAATTAAGCACATTCAATCTACTGGAATGATTAGACTATCGTTACACAAAAATGAAGAGGTATAAATAATACATTTATAGTAATTATATTTAACGTTCTTTAAATATTACTTTTATCATTTATGTTTTAGAAACAGGTGTTGTCTTTGGATAAACAATTAACCTATCCTTTGTACATATCTGTTAATATGCAAGTAGTAACACCATTTTTATCCAACGAGGAAGAAAAATTAAATGATTCCATTCTTGCAGATACTTAGCAGTTTAATAAAATAAATAAAATACATGAGAGAATGAGAATTGAAAGGTGCTTTCAATAATGACGATTTTGTAAGTCTCTAAGCTTGAGGTTGAAATACTCGAGTTCCTCTTTAATTAAGATTCCTCTAATTCTTCTAACCGATTAATTATAGCTATTAATAATTGAGTGCTTTTTTAGATATTATAAATTTAATATAATATGTTATTTTTCTGGACGGACCAAAGTGCTGTATGAATTTTTACTTGCATTTATACATCGAAATTATAGCATAGATGTGTCACTCACAAGTTACTTAAAATACTTTCCATTAATTAGAAAATTTACTCAAATATTGATGAAAAAAAATTCATATAATGAAAAATTCGAGGAGAAATAATTTTATTATTATTATTATTATTATTATTATTTATTATTTTTTTCTGAATAGATTTAAATATTATAATTTGGTTTGTACAGAAAAAGTTATTTACTTTATCATCGTGATTGTACAATTGATTCGATTATTTGTTGAGATAAAGACTTTGTCATAGCTACTAATGATATACAGGATACATATATCAAAATTATTTGATAACGCGATGGAAACATTTTTACGCGTTTTTATATGTGTGTAAATTTTGTCTATGAAATAACTCTAATCTATCGTTAACAATACACTGCTAAAATACATCATACATTAATTTTGTATTAACGCAGTACTAAAAAATACATATAGAAAAATTTTACGTTTCGTTATATTATTTTTTTTTTTAGATAATTTTATTAATTAATAGCTGCAATAGAAAGAAAATAATCATTATTTTAGTTACAGAAATACTTTCTAATTTATTTAGCTCTTATAAATATATTTTATGAATTTGTAAAGAATTTTAAAAATAGAAAGATCTTTTTTTTTTTAAGTTCTATCGGATATATATCTACGAGTAAATATTTAGATTAGTTGTTATAAGAACAAAATGCACAAAAATATATGTTCAAAATATTCATATATTGATATTAATTATATTCGTCTAAGCTTTGCAGATTATATCAATTTTGGGCAAAGGTAATTTTTCTATAATTATATATATATATATTTAAATCAAATTATTGACTATATATCATTAAACTGCATCATAAAGCTTTAATGTAAAATTTGATATACCTCTTAACTGCTAAACAACTAAAGTTTCATAATTTATTTAACTTTACATATTTAACATATTCACGATTTAAATTAACTTTTACATAGAATATCAAGTTGCGAAAGAGAACATCCTATTCATCAAAATTGGTAATGATTAAAAAGATTTATATTTGTCAAAGTCTTATGATATATTTTTACTATTAAACTAAACTATAAACACTATATATATAAGTTATGTTAATACAGATTTTGGATATATTTAATTTTTATCTATACGAAGAACATAATTAATTAAGTTTCTAATGAGATATAAGCGATTTAATTAAACAAAAGACATTTTGTATACCGGCGCTATATAGAAACATTTAATTTCACGTGTATCATATCTTTCACTAAATATTTATATCAATTTTCATTTCTAACAAGATTTCAATATAACAGATAAAAGATGTACATATATTCTATAATTCATATATATATATATACATATATTATTTTTATATTTTTCTCACTTCTATATATATATCTTTATATTTTTGAAGCAAATTAAAAACAAATTTTGTTCATTAAATAATTTATATATAAAATAAGTAAAGAAATATTTTTATTAACAAAAAACAAAAAAGAAAAACTCCTTCATTTCTAAAACAATATAAATATATATATTTATATAAAACAGTATAGATGCCTTTACTTATGGGAGTTAGTTTTCTTTTTTTTAACAAGAACAATGTTATCTGATATTTTTTTCCGTAACCATTTAACACTTTATTGGCAGAATACTCTCTGTACATTGTGTATTTTGTGTACAATAGATATAATTTGACAATAAATGTTACAAACAAATTTATTAAGTTTGACATAGACATTCTCTTGATACGTTTTTTTTAGGAAAGGACAATCGGTATTACAACTATATTACTTAACGAAGCATCAAGTTGTGATCATTATTATGTATGACAATTAAACACTTGCTGTTAAAATGTAATTATTTTTTAATTCGATATGCATGAGGTGGGGCAGTGTCATGATTTGGAAATGTGTGTTATTGCAATTTGATCCACCACGATTATGTTGAGATGATATGTATTGAAATGCGCGAAAATGCGCGACTTTAATATGATTTAAAAACTGATGAATTACAAATGAAAAAATCAAAATTATCATTTATTCTCATTATTCTACTTGTAAGAGTAGTAGTAAGAGAAACAAATGTTTTTGCTATTGCTGTTCTTGTTTGTTATCTTTTTTTTACCATTTGTTACAAGAAATTCAAATCGCAGGTCTCATTTTCTTTTTTCTCTTAAAATGATTCTATAAATTTTCTATATTATATAAACACACTTTTATCAATTTATATTTGAATAATATAACTTTAAGCATAAATGAGAATAATAAAGCACGTAAAAAGTAACGCGTGCTGTCGGCAGAAATAACAATATTAGAACACTAAAGGTGCTGATTAGTTGTAATCCATATTATGTCAAAAACTCTTAATTCAATTATTCGTTGGAATGAATGAAAATTCATGATCCAATTCGTTCGTTTTGGATCAGTCGATGAAAATTTATTTTATTTAAAAGGCGCTTTAGATCTTTTGTAGATCGAACACGACGATTCTCGGTGTCGAAACAATTCTTTAATGAACGACACTGAATAAATCTTAAAACGAAGTAGACGTTGAAAAGGAATTAAATCATTTTGCGTGTATTCAATAATTTGTCTAAGTTAAAAAACATCGACACAAAAAACGTTTAAATTCGTTCGAACGGAAGAAAGGACACACACATTATATATAGTTAACGTGCGCTAAGTTGTTTGTTTAACGCGCACACGCTTTTGTATTTTCCTAAATATATCAAGAGAAGAGAAAAATTGATGCACGTAAATTGAAAAAAGGTAAAAGAGATTTTTTAAGTACCGCGTCTTATTAACGAAAACATTATCTCTAACTGGATGTGTAATGTATCAAAAGAATGCGAGTCAATACTTTCAACAATAGGACCTTATAAGCTTCGTACTTCCGAGTGCGTATACGGAATTCGCGTATTCATTTTCGTATTTTTATCATTTTTTTTCTTTTCTTAATTTAATTTTAAATTCAATTTTGCAGCTATTTTATATTTTATCGTCGTTCGTTTGAAAACCCCACGTCCCACTGCACCCCAACACTCCCTTACTTCTTTTTTTCCCTCCCATCCTCAAAACAACAGGAAATTTTAATCATTTTATCGCTATTGTGTCGTTTTCCATGTTCTATTGCTATCGTATCGAGTTGTTCTGTGTTCGCCATCATTTTTATTTTCTTTTATTTTTCTTTCTTTTCCATTTTTTACTTACAATTAATAGTATCGTTATTTTTAATTGCATTAATAATAACAGTAGCAATAGTAGCGGTATTACTGGTATTAGTAGTAGTAATAGTAATAGAGTAGTAGTAGTGTAGTAGTAGTAATAGTGTAGTAGTAAATGTAATGGCGACTGTTAACACTTTAGCAATTAAAGATGGCGGTGTTGATGGTGGTAGAAGTCCACTTTAAATTCTTTTTCAATGGTATTAGGACCGAAGTTTTTGTATGTATGTGTGTGTATATGAAACGCGGTTTTATTATTATTTTTTTGTTAATTATTTTTGTTGTTTTTTTTTTCTCTTTTTAAATATTCTCTCTTTTACTTTTAAGCGTTTCTATTTTATCTACTTTATCGATCTCAATCAAACACTACCTTGCTGATTCGTTACGAATGCTTAATCATTTTCGACCGAGAGAATACTTTTTATATTTCTCCGTTCTCAATTAATTATTAATTTTTAACTTTTAAAATTTTTTTCTTTTATTATTATTATTATCATCTACATACGTCGAACGCTCTCGAAGGAATAGCACGTAGAATCGATCAGATATTATCGATTTTAACGTTACTGATCGTTCATTCAAATATACATACTACATATATTCATCGTATACATTCATTTTCAGCCACACAAAACGCACATGCACTTTTTCACGCATACACAACACGCACGCACGCAAATGGTGAGAGAAAAACGCACGCGACGCTATCTCTTAATAGAATATCTCATATTTCTCAAGATATATATATATATATATAGATCGCAATACGTCTCTCATTTCTTTCCTACGAATTATAGAGAATTTATATTTTTTTAATACTAATATATATATTTATTGCAAAAATCGGCAAAACACGGATCGTGTTCGTGATGGCGATGTTCCTTTCCTGAAGAGAACGCATAAACATAATTCAGTTCTTTATTTAATAATACATGTATGTTTGTATGTATGTATGTATGTATGTATGCATGTATGATGTGTATAATATATGCTACTACATTATTGTATTATTATAATGCACGTATATATTATTTTTCTTTAAATCGCATTTATTTATCTTCTTCATTTAACATTACTTAACTAATTAAACAAAGGATTCTCGCTCTATCACGAACGCAATCGCATGTCACTCGTCTAAAAATAAGCCATAATCTTTTCTCTTAGCGTGCAATTCCATTATACGCCTTCTTGTCGTCGCGATACATCGGCAGACTATAAATCTCCTCGTGTATATTTAATAATGATATTTTCTCTTTTTTCTTTAAATCGATCTAACGCACGTGTCCGTTTCGTAGCGCGTAATTCTCTTGACACTATTATATTTTACTTCCTATATGCGTAAAACATTTTATCTTTTATATTATTCTCTCTCTTTTTTTATCTTTCTCGTCCTTTCATCTTTTTTTCCCGACGAATCGCGTTAATTAAATATACGTTATCATCCACGGATAAAGAATAATATATATTTTGTTATCTATCTCTTTGAATTCGCGCGTCTCTGGCAGTTTTCTTTAAAATCATTCACTCCCCCCCTTCTTATATACCCTACTGATTATAATTTGACTACATTTTTTTTTTCACGCGGGCCGGTCGTAGAGCACAGAACAATGGTGTGTACATAAATAAGTTACCTATCGCGCACGCTCCAAACATTTTCTTCCAAAAATAGGTAGAAGCAGCAGCAGTATATTTCGATCGTCGTTCTTAACTCGTCAATAATATTAACTCTCTTTTTTTAACATTTTTGTTGTTTTTATTTGAAATCGTTTCTCGCAACGCGCACGCCGCCTATCACCTTCGTTCTCCCGCGTCACGTGAGACACGACGACGATGAAAATGGTGGCAAGAAATAATTCGAATTTAATTTATTCATTTCTTCGTTTGTT